CCATGCTGGGCTGCATCCCTGATCGCTGTCCTCCACTTACATGCCACCCATATCTGGTCCATAAGCACGTCCTGGGGGTCACCTCAGTCCACCCACCTTGGCTACTCACCTCAGGCACTCTGCTGAGCTTCCTAAGTCTTCCTCTGGCAGCCCCGTTGTACATTCATTCTCACCAGCCCTGCCCAACTGCCCCTCCCCTTACTCCCAGGCCACCCCCTTCCCCTCTGGCCAGTGCCTTCCCCACTTGGATGTCCTTTCCTGTCCCTCCCACAGCTCTGCCTCCTGGGCCAGGGGACCTTCCTCTCTGCAGTCAGGGTCCACCATGGGCACGGTCCAGGCCTCTGCACTGGCCACTGTGTTGGAGGCATGAGAGGCAGATGTCCGGAGCCAGGGGTGCAATGTGGTATGTGGGGATCCTGGTTAGCCTGAGGAGCTTCCACCATGTCCTTGAGAACCATCCTTCCAGCCCTGCTGGTTCCTAGTCCGCTATCAGGTGGCTTCAGATCCCCCTCTGGGCTCACAGTGTCAGCACCTGCAACCCAGGAGGGCTGTCCACAGCACTGTTTCATCCGAGGCCATCCCCTGGGCTCAGGAGGGATCTCTCACCCCACTACAACTGGCCCTACAACCCCCCTGCCCCACTGCCACCGGGCAAGGTTGTGTGACCACAGCAAATCCCTAACTCTGAGCATCCATTCTCTGTTAAAGTGTGCCAGTGTCAAGTGTGTGTAGCCATAGCTCCAGCATCACACCCACCCCAGAGCAGGCTGAGGGCTGGTGTCTGACAGAGTCCACGTTTCTTCCCATGGCCTCCAGCTGGGGGGCATCGTGGTCCCATTGCACAGAGAAGGCACCCAAAGCGAGGCCCCTCACCAGGAAGTGTAAGTCAGGATTCACACAGGCCCTGCTGCTCCACCCACAGCACTTGGCACCCCCGCCCAGAAAGGTCATCAGTCCCAAGGGGAGGGATAGGCAGGGGTATGTCCATGGAGCCTGTCCAGGTCACCTGCAGGCGCCACTGAGCAGCCATGGAGCAGCAAACTGGATGCCTGGCTGCATGGGATGAACACTTTGGTCCCCCATCCTCACCATTTGGGAAATTGAGTGCATGTGTGGGAGGCCTGAGACAGACACAACTGAGTTACCGTGTGTGTCCCGTGGGGCTGCAGGAACCCAGGCACAGTCAGCCCATCAGACCACACAGAGACTTGGGAGAAGCACCTGCTAGCAGGGTGTCTGGGAGTCACATGTGCAAGGCCTGGACCTAGCATACACTTCAGAATATGAAGGCACGTGTGCACACAGGCATAGACCTGTGACAGCTCTTCAGAGTGAACTCCTGCCTACCAGGAAATCCCTGTATCCCCAGGGACGCAGAATGCAAGCTCAGCATGCTAACAATAATCATGGAGCACCTGTGCCTGCCTTGGGTCACCTGCGCATGGTCCAGTAAGGGCTGGAGCACTGAACAGCTGAGACCTTGTCCTTGTGTTCAGGCAGGCTGAATGGAATATGCTGGCCTCTTCCTGCTTAACCAAGGCCATTGATCCCCCATGTTGGAGGTTTCCGGTTCTCTTACTGCCTTCGGTATGCAGCTCAGCTGCATGCAGCCCTGTGGTTAGGAGGGTCAGACCTTCCTCTTGCTTGGGGCAGCCCTGCGGGCCAGACCCCATGGGCAGCAGTATAGTTCTTACAGTGGAACAGAACCGCACACACACCTGGCACTGCCTTGGCCAGCTGCAGCCCTGCCTTGGCTGAGGTAGGGTCCCCTGAGTAAGTCAGAGGAGCCAGATTCAGAGCCTGGCAGCAGTTTCCTGTGCCTTCCAGGCCGTCAGAACTGTCTCCAGGGCCCCTCTGCTCTTTCCCCACCCTGCATAGTGGCTCTCGGGGGCCCGGCAGCCCCTCCAGACCCAGGTGCTGAGTTATCACAGGGAGCAGCCAATCCCAGCAGCAAGGTCCCTGCTCATGAATTTTCATGTCTTTGTTTGAGCAGTGGGAGACAGGCAGCCCTCCTCTGAGCACTGCTGCGAAGCAGTAATTAACACGCATACAGAAGAAAAGGCGTGTTTCTGTTGCTGCTTAATAGCCATGCTGACTGTGTCTCAGTTTGTGGGGGTGACAAGCAGCCCCCACCCCAGCAGGCAGCTGGCCAGGCTTCTGGAGGGGTGTGGGGAAGCCTGGGTGATGGAGAACAAGTGCTCCCGACCTCCTGTGCAGGCTTTTCTAGGGAGCACTGGAGGTACTGTCAGGTGAGGTTCACACTGGGCCTTCTGGGGACAAAGCCAGATGCCCGCAAGGGTGAGGTGGGTGACAGGAGGTTGGGTTAAGGTTAGGGTGGAGAAGATGATAGTGATGGCGATGATGCTGGTGGCGGTATCTTCACATGTGCGTATTCTGCTGACCATTTGCCCAACGCTGGCCTAGTATTTTGCAGGTGTTTGCTCATTTAAGCCACACAGCAGCCCTGTGCATGAGCTGTCATCCCTGTTTTACAGAGGCACAGAGAGGTCAAAGAACTTGCCCATGGCTGCATCGCAGAGGGGTAGGGTGGCATCAGAGTAGACATCTGCTCCGACTTGACCCCCAACCATACATACACTTTCTCCTTGAGCTCAAGGTCTGTCCACACCCACACTGGGGCCAGGACCCCAAGGGCTCCTGAGCACAATCCCAGGCCCGTGAAGGTCGCCTCACTCAGGCAGCTCCAAAAGACAGATGTGGCCTTTTTCCCTCCTTGACCTGATTAATTGCCTCACTTGCTCTGGCTCTATTGCAGTTGAACATAAATTTGGTAGGACTTAAAAATGTGAATTCATTGGTGGCCCTGCCTGTGCTTCACCACATCTGCAATTGGCACAGGGTTGGGGCGCATCCTCTCCTGTGCCCCCTAGAAGGTTCCATTGATTGCCTTTGGGCACGTAAAATGGCCTCCTCAGGCACTACCACTGGCCAGTCTCAAACCTAAAAGCGATGGAGAAGTGTGTGACCAGCCTGGATCATAGGGTCCTGGCACAGCCAAGGTTCCAGAGGGGCTCTGGGGCTGGAGCAAAGGGCAAGGCCTGATGGGTGGCAGGTGCTGTAGAGCTAATTCAGCAAAGAGGGTCAAGTGTGGTCCTGGACAGCCAGATCAGAGGAGCAGCTAACAGCCTGACAGGGTCTCCCTCCCACAGGCCATAGCTTCCGCTCTCCCAGCCCTGCCTTGGCCAGCTGGCATAAGACTGTCCTGAGGGACACTCATGTCACCCATTCTGCCCTCTCCCCATGTCACACACCTGTCCTGGCCTTCTCACCTCTCCAGCCTCTGCCCTCCGTCCTCCCATCCCCACCTTCCTTCTAGTCTTCCTGACACTCTCCCATGAGCAGCTGTGCTCCATAGACTTTCCTCCCGAACATGGAGGCCTCCCCACATGCCATTTCACCAAGTCCTGCCACCTCACAGATGGGGAGACTGAGGCCTCCAGGGGCCCCATCCTGGCCCTCAGTGAGCCCTACACCTGCAACCTCAGTGCCTGGGAGGGACCTGTATACCACACTCAGGGCCCGGCCAGGGCAGGGGCCTGCAGCCCAGCACTTCTCTGTCAGCACCCTGGGAGGGGCTTGGCCATGCCTACAGCCAGGAGAAACCCCTATTATCCTGCCTGTGTTGGGGTGAGGGTACCCACCCTGGAGTCTCGACCCACTGGAGCAGCATGTGGCCAAGCAGATAGGTCCATCAGCTGCAGTATGAGGTCTGCTGGTCTCAAGAGACTCCTGTGTGCCCATCCCAGCACAGCACTGTCTGTGAGCTGGAAATGTGCTTCCGGCTGCAGTGAGTGGCTGAAAGCAGGTTTTATACAACTCTATGAACTTTGTCATTGAAAACATTATAGCCTTCAATTTGGGGCCCTGGTGGAAGGCAGTATAATTTGATTACCTATATTAATCAAGTGGAGTACAACATATAAAACCAGCAGTGCACACGTCTGACTGGAGCCGGATCACCCTCTCGTGCATCTTGGGGAGATTTATTTTCGGCAATATAATTCGTTTGACATGAACGTATCATAATTGCACTTGCTAGGAATGGCTTTTTCTTTTCCCCCTTTTTATTCTTTTAGGGGAAATTGCATTGTTCCTCGAGTACTGTGTCCTTTTCAAAGCTCTGCATAGTGAAAATGGAAACGAAGATTTGTATTCTTGATAATCGCAAACTTGGGTTAACTGCTGAGCTAACAAATGGGTCCTCTGACAGCACTGAGTTCTGCCCTGAGTGCTGTGGGGGGCAGTGTGGGTCAGCCTCAGCCCTCCTCAGCTACAGGCTGCCCCCACACGCCTGCCAGCAAGAGCTGGGGGTGCTGGGGCCTCTGACTAAATTTCTAAATTTCAAACAAGAAGGAACGTAGACTCTTGGAGCTGCAAGGTAGTACCTCTGTCTGTTTGGGTCACCAGGCATATGTGGCATCATCCATTTACTCTGGGCCCCATCCCGTCTGGGTGTAGAGTGGCTATTGTGACCACTGCCCAGGAGTGAGAGCCTCTTGCATGGTAGGGGCTTCCCCTCCCACCCTAGGCTTCTCGCACGGAGAGCTCACCCCATGGGTGAGGTCCAAGGGATTCACAGGGACCAGCATATCTGTCTGGGCAGGGTGAGGCTGCCCTGCTCATCACCTGGCGGGCAAGCTTCACATATCACGCTGGGGCCCCTGTGTCTGCTCTGGGGTGCTGGCCACTAGGGCCTTCTCTCTGAGGGTGCAGAGCCTGGGCCTGGGGCTTTGCCTGAGGCAAGTGGCCTGGTAGTGTCCCTGTGTCTGTCTCCTTCACTCCCACTGTTACCTCTTGGTCCTGCCACTCAGCCCTGCCAGCACTTGCTTCTTCTAGAATCTGGCCAGGGCTCCCAGCTGAGATGTGGCTAGGGCCACCCACTCTGTGCCCTGCTGCCCAATGCCCCAGGTGGTGAAGGGCCCTGACTTACCTCTCTCTCTCTTTCTCTCTCTCTCTCTTTCTTTCTCTTGTCCCCACAGTGTGACAGCGAGAGCGGCGTGGACGACAAGGTGAGCCTGGCACTCCTCTTCCCTCCTAGTGAATTCTACTGGGCTGCCCTGCCCACCCCACAGACCCTGATCTGAGCAGGGGTGGGCCCTGGAGACCAGGAAGAAAGACCCAGCATTTGCATTTGCTGGGATTCTCCCTGTCAGAGAGGCAGTATGGGGTTGGTGGCTTCCCTGGGTGCGGGGACCTCACCGGGCTAGGGGTTTGTGCCACAGGCAACTGCCCAGGCTCCCTGGCTGTGGAGTGCAGGCCTGGTGAGCATTTGTGAAACCCTAGAGGAAGAGTGCCCACGGGGCAGCTGTTGTTGGGGCCCACTCAGCCCTGAGTCTGTGCAGAGCCTGGGGGACCCATGGGGTGGTGGCAGGACTCAGCCCTGGCAGGACCCCACAGTGCATCCTGGAAGCTTTGGCGAGCAGCTGCAAGAGCTTCTGGACTGTACTGTGAGCTTCACCAGAACAGAGACTTGGAGAGGGTGGCCTCTAGGTCCATGCAGTCACTCTGCTTTTTAGCACAGAAGTCCCCATTAACCCAGGGTTCATACCGCTCAGTGCTCACCATAGGTGTGACCTGCCACCACTGCGACCTCCTGCGGGCAGTGCTTCCCTATCCCATGTGGCCGAGGAGATGGAGGTGGGGAGGTCATATGCTTCAGAGTGAGCCTGGTAGCCTGGCACAGGGTCCTGGATTGGTGCACACCATCCTTGGCCTCTGAGGAGGGGATATTGAGGAAGAAACTGAGTTTTTGTGAAATGGGGTGACATTCACTGGGGGGGTGTGCAGTGTGTTATGGCCCTTCATGTGTCTAGTTACATATACTTGACCTGGATAGGGGGCCTCTGGAGCCAGCCCAGGACAGCCTGGTGGGCTTGGGTTTGGGCAGACTCGGTTTAGGAGACCCATGTTACCCAAGGTGATTTGTCAAGGAAACCCAGGGGCTAGGCTGTTTGGGCTCCTTCGGACACCATGGCCTGGGCAGCCCCAGGACCATCCGGCGTCTGGTCCCTGTGATGCCTCCAGGTTGTTCTCCCAAGTTCCTCTAGCAGAAAGTGCAGACATGGCCTTGGAGGCTCGTGTGCCCGAGGGGAACCATCAGTTCCTGAACACAGGCCCCATGCTGCTCTCAGCCGCTACCCTGTAGTTCCTTCCTGCCACCCACAGCCAGCGGCTGCCTGAGGCGCTTTGACAGGCTTAACAGTTTCAGCGCGCTGCATCTCTGTCCTGATCTCGTTAATGAAACTAGATCATGGACACCTGGGAGGGTGCTAAGCCACACGTCCCTCAGCACCTCCTTCAATTTAAAACCAATTTTCGGAGAACACACTTTCTGCAGCTGAGCAGAGCAGACTGGAGAGCCGTAGGGAGGCAGTTCCTGCCACCCTCCTGTCTTCTAGAAGTAAAGCCACCGCCCGGCTGAGGGCAGATGACAAGGACAGCCGCCCAGTACTGTCACCCCTGCTCTCAGCAGCCACAGCTGGTCCTCTGGACCCCAGGGCTACAGCCCACACTCCAACTGGAGAGTTCTTTGGGCGGGGCGGGGGTTAGGAAAACCTCTGCTGGAGGCACTGGGCAGGGTCCCTGTGTAGGAGCTCACTTCCTGTGCCCCAGGAAGAATGGGCAAGGCAGTCCCCAGCCTATCTCCACAGCTGCACTCTGGGCTGGTACCCACACAGGTGGCTGGGGATATGCCCATGTGGGGAGGGGCACAGGAGCCCCTGGCTCCATGGAGGGGCGGCTGTCAAGGTGGGTGGGATAGCCTGACCTCTGTCACCATGCCTCCGAGGGAATGAAGCAGGAGTGACTAGAGGCATAGAGAGGGGCCTAGGCAGCTCTCACCCTGTGCTTCTATGTCCCTGCTTCTTACTGAGAGCCAGCGGGTGATGGTGGCTTTCATGAGGTCTAAGCTGGAATAAGCAAGGGACACAGAGTGGCCAGCAAAGCAAGCAGACCTGTGGCTTTTATTAGAGCAGGGAGACAAGTCCTTGGAGCATTCACACATCTTCCTCATTAACCTAGGTCTGCCCTTTCCAAGAGCACCTGGAGTCTCTGGTTCAGACCTTTCAGTGGCCACCATGGCAATGGTGCCAGTTCCTCAGATGCTGGGTCCCTGAGTTTGGGACCATGAGTGGGAAAGTCTGGACTCTTCTGCTTCCTTCCACCTGGCACTGGGCTCTGAATGCACACTACATGCCTCCCCGTAGGCACTGCTGCACCTTGACCTGCCATGCCCCTTCCGCCTGCCAAGGGGAAGTGGAGGCACCCCATTGCTGCAGTGTTTCTGAGGTGTTGACATTCCTGCCTTAGCCAGACCGAGATGAGAGAGAAAGGGGTCCTCAGGGACACCAGGACAAGTAGAAGGACACCCTGAGCAGCCAAGTTCATAGGGACCTTGGAGGCCCCTGCTGATGGGGAATTCGCTTCACATGTGTCTTCCACAGCAGATTGCTCACATTCCTTGGCACACAGTGGCCTGGAAGAGCCAACAGTGGACAAGGTCTGTGATGAGAAGCGGCAAGACCTGCACTTGGGCAGGAGACAGAAAAAGTCAGCGTGCTGGGGTCTCAGCGCTAACTCATCAAACCCGAACTGGGCTCAGGGATGTCCTGCAATGCCTGGCAGAGCTGATGTCCTCCTGGACGGGGCTTGCAGCTCTTCTGCCCAGTTGCTGACTGTACATCTTCCTCCAAAGTCGCCAGGGACTGGGCTTAGACTGCTAGTCCCACCAGCTCACCCTGTCCATGAGGACCCCCAGGGGCTTTGCTTCCAGCTATCATGCAGGTGCTCTGGGGATCTTCCTCCTCCAAGTAGACAGACGGGTGGTCAGGAAACATCTAGTTTCATACACTCCTGCATCCACCTTTCAGGCCTCCTGCCAATCCCAGCCCAGCATCTTGGGCTGTCTACCTGCTGCCCCACCTCTGAGGCCCCACCCTGCACCACAGCCACTGCTAAAAGCTGGGAGTGGGGCCAGCAGGGTGTGTGTATGGGGAGATGGCCCCTCCATGAGGCAGCAATTGGTGTCTTCTCTTTTATTGGAAAAATATGTATGAAAATTGTGTGAGGCTCATTAGGCACCTGCTGGCCGAGACCAGGTGGCCTTCTGGCCAGCACTCCCTGTGGGGAGTGCTGCTGGGCCTGGCCACTGGCCAGCCTCCAGGGACTCTTGTCTTATCTGCGGCACCCTAACCAGGCAGTGTTCCAGCACTTGGACTCAAAGGGACTCCTCCTGGGGGCACTAGTACCTCAGCCTCAGTCCTCTGTTTATAGAATGAGGTCACCATGGCCTAGGTGGAGGCCACGCGTAGATGTGAGCCCCTGAACCCCACCCTCCTCCAAGCAGGCCCTTATCCTGAGGGAGTTCTGAGCCTGACTGGCGTCCTCTTTGAACCTGTCTTCTCACCTCTGAAGCAGGACTCACCAGGCCCACTTCTTAGGTTCTTGCTCTTTTGAACTACATGAGACACACAATGCCAGATGGACAGACACAGTCAGACAGGTGGGCACAGCAGCTGGGGTGTAGGCTCCACAGCCCACATGGAGGTCTTACAGTGCTATGGTGATGGGAAGCAGCTCTGGCGGCAGCTCCTGGGGAGAGTTCTTCCCAGCACCACAGCTTGGCCACAGGAAGCAGCTCCAGGGTCCCCGTGTGCATGCAGTTCAGGTTGCCAGACCTCTGCCCAGCCCCAGTCACGAGGCTACCTTCCTTAGGGTCCTGGTAGGACCCTGTCTCCTTCCCTAGGGACGGAGAGATGAGGCCCTGGCATCCCAAGGGATGGCCTACCTCCTGGGAACCTCTGCCTCCCCTACCCTCTGCTGTGCTGTACATTTGACCTGGGGCTCAAGTCCACAGTGTCTTCAATGGGTGGCCCCCGGAGGCTTTGGTGATTGGGTCTCCGAGACAGGCTTCTGTGTTCTGGGTTAGGAGGGCCGACAAGACTCTGTCCACCCCTGTATAACCGTGGGTTGACCTTGGCATATCTGTGCAGGTGTGGAGGCAGGCAGTGGCCACCAGGTAGCAGTACTTCTGGAGCCTCTGACACCCCCAAGGTGGCTTTTGTCCCCCACCCCTATTGATAGGCAGAGCATCTGAAGAACAGAAGTTCCTTTTGTGAAGTGGAGAGGACACAGAGAGAGAAGTGGTCAGGGTGGGGGAGTTGAGGAAGGCCAAGAGGCCTTGGATTGTAGGTGATGAATCCCCAGCTTAAGTGGCCCAGGGTGGCAATTTTGCTGGAGAGAGCGCCCTTTCCCAGTGCCTGGCTCCTGGAACCCAGGGGCTGCCAGGTCCTGCCAACTTCAGTGTGGCCCGTCCTGGGGCAGTACCCTGCATGGCATCCATTGGTATGGCTGTGTCCCAGCCCTCATGTCTCTGAGGGACATGGGGACTCAGCATGAACAGAGAGAGCCAAGCAGGCAGGAGGTGCTGAGGGAAAATTCTTCAGCAGAAACGGGCTGGAGCCAGCAACCTGGAGCCCAGCAGACAGGCTGGGTTGGGGTACGGATGGCAACATTCCCAGGACAGAGATCCCAGGAGCCTCCCTCACAGAGGGCGCCTGGAGTGAGAGTGGCCCCACTGTCCTGAGCACGTGGACGATGTTAGAAGTCAATGTTTACTGAGCACCTCCTGTGGAGGCCCAGAGAATTTAACTGTCCTGCCTAAGGCCAGACAGCTCTCAAGGCGGCCCTCAGGAGTTGGTGCGTCACTCAGCCCCTCACTTGGTTTCATGCTTGGTTCACCAGCAGTGCTGGCAGGAGTTGGTATCAGAAATCAGCAGGTAGGAGACGAACCAAACCAGGAGTGGGAAAAATCAGCAGGTGAGCCAGGCATGGTAGTTGTACATCTATAACCCAGCTACCCAGGAGTTGGAGACAGAAGGATCACAAGTCATCCTGGGCAGAGTTACTGAGCCCCTCTTTCAAAAATAAAAATCTAAGCTGGACCCCAGTGGCTCACACCTGTAAACCTAGCCACTTGAGAGGCAGAGATCAGGAGGATGGCAGTTGAAGG